CATGTGCCTATTTTGCAGATGAACTTTGGAAATCATCAATTCTTCAATGATGAACACAAAATGTTTGAATTTGGTGACAAATCAGAACATTTAGATAATGGTAGAATATTCGAACTAGATATCCCTGAAAAAAGCTTTCTTTATTGTTCAATCATTGGTTCACAGCTATAATGAGAACGTTGAAGCAATGTCAATTTTCAAATATCGTCAGTTTCAATCAATACTGAACTTCTGTACTCGATGATTTCCACGGTCACTCACATACAAATTGCCCTCCCGATCAAATGATAAACCGGTGGGATGAGAGAGTTTATTTGATTCACTACCATAGCCATTCCCACAAACGATGACCCTTCCTTGTGTGTCACCTTGAGTCCAACGCATTATTCTATTACTCACGCCGACTACCACATATACAGTACCTGACTGATCTACGACAATTCCATAAGGATTTGATAATTGTATTAGGCAACTTTGTTGATCTTGGCCACCAGCCACAACAATGCCTTCTTTTACACCTTTCATCCACTTCATGACACAATGGTTAGCCTGATCTGATACGTACACTGAATGATCTCGATCGACGAATACATATGTTGGATAATAAAGCTGATCAAGACGATTTCCTTGTCCATTTCCACCTGCAACCACTGTTCCATGACTTTCTCCCATTCGATATCGTCTAACTTCATGTCGACTGTGATCAACAATGTAAAGAAATCTATCATCATCCATTGTCAAGCCCCAACATCCAATATTTGAGATAATCGTTTCTCCATCTGTACCATTTTGATTAGGCCATCTGACTACTCTTCTATTGTTGTAATCACAAATGATGAGACTATCCGTTTGTTTATCAGTAATTACATCTAGTGGACGGTTCAACTGATTAGAACGATTTCCTTGGCGCTTTCCACCAGCCACAACTCGGCCAGTTGTCGCACCACGTTTCCATTCCATTAGACGATGATTCTCACAGTCAGCTATGTAGATAGTTTGATCGTCATCAACAAACAAACCAAATGGGAAATAGAACTGATTCATTCCACTGCCACCTCCATTTCCTCCAGCCACAGTGACACCATTCTGTATCCAGGTTGCATTAACATTCAGATTTGCAGTGCATAAAAATGGTTCTGAAACGAAGCACAGGTTTGCTTACGGTATTGAATTCATGTATACTCATGAGAAGCGCACTTTAATGTAGAGAATCTTTGATAGAGAGAGAATTCTTTCAAACAAGATATTTGTAGACGATGGGAATTACTATTTACTTTTGATCGAAATCAATCGGTCACATATGAACATCTTCCAGATGATATTGTTATGATATCGATTCAAATAAACTATTCTTTTCAACTATACCTCAAATAGAGGATATCAACTGAGTATCATCAAAACTCTCTTCGAAATGAAATACAGCTAGAGAACTATTGATATGATTTTAATGATAACGTAAGAAAAGAAAAATTTTTCCAGTTTGGTTTTCATTTAATCAATCAAATGAACATTTGGAATATGAGAAAATAGTTAAGAAAGCATTGCCAACGTTTTCTAATCATTCAGAATCTCAGAAACGTGACAAAAGATTCATTTTCAGAAAAGTCAAGATCAATCATGCACTAGAACAAGATTTGTGACAAATTCGTCATACGGGTCATCTGCTTTTGTTTTTCTACGAGTGTCCGCCGAGAAAGAAGAGAATCAAATTTCGAACTACTCACAATCATTATTTAAAAATAATTCTTCCATCACTTCCCAAGTGTATTTTTCAACCATCAAAATTCTTGACTCAAAACACTCAGCAAATATCGCTCAATGCAAAAGAGCCATACGGATGTTCGACAGTTGTAAAAGACTCTTGAAATTCTACTCAATACATTGTAAGCATCTTCATCTCAAAATGGAATATGCTATTGACTAATGTTTACAGATACAGATGCCACGTTCGTGGAATTCAAACGACAAATTTTTTGCTCAAAGAAGAGAAGTGAACTTCATCTTTCAAAATATTCATTGACTACAAAAGAACTCATCAGTTGTCGAATCATACGGATGCATTTTAGAGGAAAAGGAAAAAAAGAAAGTCAGGGAAGATATGAACAAGAACTTTTCTATGGTTGACAACTCTAACAAGTGATCAATGGATTCAAGAATAATTAGTTGAAGAAAATTCGAATCATTCAACAATGTGTAATGTGTATTAAATGAGTTCACTCACGTAGAGACACACTAGGAAATCAATATTTTTTATAATCGTGACAAACGACATCTGAAATATCGATGATACATTCAGCAATCATCGTTTTCATTTTGTTCATCCTTACCGTAGAAAAATACAAATGAATAAATCATTGTGATGAACAGAATAGTTGTATCTCTTTTCTTCTCGTTTACTTTTCGAAAACAAATCTATTGTTTTCTTCTGAGTCTCTACTGAATACCCTTTTCTGCAATCGTCTCAACATATTCATTATGTTCTTGTTTTGTTAAGAAGGTTGAGATAATTGACATTATTTAATTCTCTTCTTTTATTTTATTTTATTTTTAATTTTTAAATTTAAAATTTAAAATTTGAAATTTGAATCAATTTAATTTAATTTGATATTAATAGTTTATTTAAATTTAAAATTTACAAATTGTGACGTTTCGTATCTCGATAAGATACTTCATCGTTTATTGAACATCCGAATCGACCTCAATGGTCCATGTGATGTGCCAAACGTTTTTCGATGGATGTCGCTTTTAACATTACTTTTATCTTTATTTAATTTAAATTCGAGTCAATTCATGTCGAACACATCGATGCAATGCCATTGCAATGTGGGAAAATGTGAAATACTCATCGGATATGCCACTGTTACCAATGAC